GGAATTGACGATCATGAAAATAAGACTGTTATTTGAAGTAACTAGACATTTAGTCACTCAACATGGATGCTCACAATAGATACAAGAAGTGAAGATTGCATTCGGATGGAAAATTTTGAGAGAAATCTTTTGAAAGGCTGAATATTACAAATTAATGGAAACATCTGTGTCCTTTTTTTTTTTTTCTTTGGTGTAATGATTCCAAAACTGATGAGAAATTTGCCGAAGGTGAAGACTGAACTATATTATTCAACATTTTGTTGTGTTGCATTCTAGGCGCTAAAGTTGAATGGGCAGGAATTTTTGGGAGAAGCCACTTGTGTTCTGTCCGAGGTGAGTTGCCTTGCATCCATTATTGCTCCTTGGATGTTGATGTGTTTCCTTAGTTTCAACTCGGGAAGTACTGTTAGAATTATTTCATTTGTTTCTACTGTCTTTCAGGTGCAGTTCTTGAAAACCTGCATTATACTTTCCATCATGACAGCTAAAATCTATTGATTCCCTTCAGTCGACAACCGAATTTGCTTGCTAATGCTAATTTTCCAAAATAAGTGGCTTAAAACCAGTTAGAATGATTGGTTAAACCATGCTTAACGCTAACATATGTGGCTTCACTTTTGCTTGGCAGATAGTGACCAAAAGAAATCGATCTTTAACTCTCAATCTCCATAGCAAAAATGGGCCTGGAGGTTCCAGAAACTTAGGGACATTGACTGTCCATGCTGAAGAAAACTTTTCATCCAGAATGGCTGTTGAGATGAAATTGCGTTGTTCCCAATTGGACAACAAGGACGTGTTTTCTAAAAGTGTATGTGCTCATGATGCATCTAGGTTTGGTCTGTTCATGTGCGTGTATGTGTTCAAACTTCCATCCTATTCTCTTTTGCTTATAGGATCCTTTCTTGAGAATTTCAAGACTACTTGAAAGTGGAAATTCTGTCCCAATATGCAAGACAGAGGTGATAAACAACAATTTATATCCAGTTTGGAGAACCTTATATCTGAGCATGCAACAGTTTGGAAGCAAGGCAAGCTTGTTATCTCTTTATGATTCTTGTGATAATATCTTAAGAGTTTATGAGATTTTTGGCACCATGGTTACTTTTGTATGTTCTATGTTGATTACAGGATAACCCATTACTTATCGAGTGTTTCGATTTCAACAGCAATGGTGATCATGCTCTCATTGGGTAATGATTGAAATTTCTGGTCTCTCCATTGTTGGCTTTTTTCATTTTTCGCTTTTAATAGATGAAAGTGTTTGATGCCTGGGAAGAAAGAAGTGATTTAGGATTTTCTTATTTACTTTATCAGCAAACTTCAGAAATCAGTTTCACAGTTGGAAGAGCTTTACAAAGACAGAAGCGGTGCAAATTTGGTTTTCCCGTCTCGTCGTGGTCAGGAGAAGGTGCTCATCCATGTTTGGCATCAGATTTTCAACCTAAAATATGTCAATGTGTTCTTAAACATAATTTTGCCCTACAGGTCTTGAAGGGTCAGCTCTTCGTAGATGAATTTATTGAGAAGGTGCAATTCAGTTTCCTTGATTACATATCTAGTGGATTTGAGCTAAATTTCATGGTTGCCATTGACTTCACAGGTAAATAATCTTTCTGCCCTTTGATATCCTTAGCTGAGGCTTTTATTTTCCTGTTCCTGATCTCATGTTCTGGTTCATAATTTACATGTTTGACTTTTTCAGCTTCAAATGGAAATCCTCAAAATCCTGATTCTTTGCACTACATTAATCCTTCAGGGCGATTGAATTCTTATCAGCAGGTAAGGCTGAGATGGCTTTTAATACTGCACTACTATTTAGCAGAAATGTTTTCCATGAGATAGCATAAGAATATTTGCAATGTATTAAGTTTGCATAGAACAAAGTGTATTTATATTGATCATCTTTGTTGAGATTGAACTTGTTTGAGAAATTTGGAAGCTAACACTAGTGGTTAATGAAATTGGTGGCTAACTTACTGATGACATTATAAACAGGCTATAATGGAAGTTGGAGAGGTCATACAATTTTATGATTCTGATAGGCGGTTTCCAGCCTGGGGTTTTGGAGGAAGGGCGTATGATGGCACTGTATCACATTGTTTTAACCTGAATGGCATTCATGCCCATGAGGTAAGAGACACAGAGTTTGTATGTTTTCACCATTTACGTTTTAAATATATGCAGCTGTTTTAAGACACCTGCAAAATGATTTCATTTTCTTTCAAAATATCATTTTGCATTCTACTTGTGGAAGTGCAATAGAATTGTTTATCGTATCTTGTTTGTATTGATCTAGTTGTTTCCACTCTTACCATCTAAAAAAAAAAATCATCATTATTAGCACTGTCATTACTTTTTTTATTTGATTAAGGTTATTTTAGTTCTATAATGTTGATCTGAAAATATGAACCCTTCACTCTGGAATATCATACTTTCACTTTAACTTCATTCAAAATCTTCATTTCCCAAGTTCACAATTGTTATGCAGTGAATTTTCTTTTGTATTTGTTCTTTTTCATAACTGGCCAATCAGTTACAGGCCAAAAAAAGAAAAGATATACATTACAACCACTGTTGTTATGAGACCAATATTACATTTTCTATTGACTAAAAGTTGCAGCTAATTTGTTTGGTTGCTCTTGCTTGTTGGCACTAGATTCACACATGTTGAAGCTTACATTTATTTCTTTTTCAAGACTGGTTAATTTACTTCCTTTAACAGGTTGAAGGAGTTGAAGGCATCATGGCTGCTTATGCTAATGCTCTGCACAATGTCACTCTGGCTGGGCCCACTTTGTTTGGCCATGTGATCAACACGGCTGCACAAATAGCTGGACAGACCATCTCAAATGACATTACCAAATATTTTGTGTTGCTCATTATAACGGTAAAATGGAACTATCACTTTTATGTGCGTTAAGAACTATTATTCTTTGTCTAACTTACGAAGATCTTTGGCCAGGATGGAGTGCTGACAGATATGCAAGAAACAATGGAGGCTTTGGTTAGGGCATCTGATCTTCCTCTATCTATTCTTATAGTTGGAGTGGGGGATGCAGACTTTAAACAAATGGAGGTATGCCCTTGTTTTCTAGAACCCTCAGCATATTTGAATTGTCAGTTTTTGCATTACTAGACTCATTGAGCTGTAGTTGCTTGTATTTTGCCACCAAAAGAGTAACCAAGAAAAAAGCTCCGGGTCTTAATGTAGATTCTGGATGCTGATAATGGACATCGATTGGAGAGTTCAACAGGCCGTTTGGCTACACGAGACATTGTCCAATTTGTTCCTATGCGAGAAGTGTATAGTAAGTCATTTTTCTGCCTTTGGATGCATGTTTGTTCTCATTTTCTCTAGGATGAAGGATTCAAGCTTAAATCCTTCCTCCCCAACTTACGATCAAAAGGACACATAAAAGAAGCAGATATCAATGCCTTGTGATTTCTCAAGATGAAATGGTTTGGGAATTTGATAGTTAAATGGCTTTTAAGTTGATTCTTAAAACGACCTGAAAACCTAAAGCTTGCTGTCTCATCCCTTGGAACATAGTAAAATGGGACAGCCTAGGCTGTCAATTGTCTTCCTTTTGTGCAAGCCTGCAAGGTATGCAGTCTGAGTGGGTTTGGCCTGAGATTGTAGACTGTTCCGTATGATACTAGTATATTCCTTTTGCAAAGTGAGGAATATAGGGGGATTAAACAAAAGATTTTGTGCTCAAGGTGAAAGAAGGGTCTGCTAGAGGATTGTCTTGGAGTTGCTAGGCTTAGGGCTTGTGCTTTTTAACAGGTTTCCCCGCTTCCATGTACTAATAAAAACAAAAGGTCTGCTGGCAATGGTGCATGAGCTGCATTAACATTCTGCCTCAGGAAAACATTGGAAATACGTATTTGGAGACTTTAAAGTAGTAGTTGACTTAGCTTGGAGCTCTTGTGCTGGTTACAATTCTAAATGTTATAGGCTAAATGACTCAGACAGAGCTCTTAATCACTTGATTATAATTGTATCTTTTTACAAGCCTAAGACAATTGCATATGGTGATACTCAACTCCAACTTTTTTCTACTTTTGATATTAGCCTCCTCTTCTTCGTTTTACTTGTTTCTTTTCAATTCAATTTTACTAATCAGATGATGGCGTTTTTACAGGCTGCCGGATTTCTGTTGTTCAAGCTCTACTGGAAGAGCTGCCTGGGCAGTTTTTGAGTTACATGCGTTCTAGAGACATTAAGCCACTCAATGCTTGAGTGTGAACTTGTTTGGATTCTAACACAAAATACATCAAAACCTTGTGCATATACTAGAATTAGAATGATAGTTATAGCCCGTCCATAAGATAGCCCAGGAAGCCAATCTGTATATGCACACTAGAATTAGAATGATAGTTTTACTACAATCTGTCAAGATTGTTGTTCTGTCCAAATTGGTCGATTCAAGATTATTTGATTCTTTGTTTCCAAAGCAAGATTAGCATTGTTGTTTCTTGTGCAAAGCCAAGAAATGCAAACTGCAATTCTGATTTTGTTATATTTCAAGTTTACTTTACTTTTAACTTTCTGAAATTAATTTGTTGAAACTTAAGCCAAATACTTTAGTTTTGTTTTACTACTAATCTCTTCTTTCTTCCAACTTATTGGGACAGTTTAGGCTCTGGAGAACCTTAATTATTACCCATAAATTAATATTAAGATGAACACAATCGTACTCCATTTCATAAAAAAACAAATGTAAGGAATATTCATGAATGGTATAGTAGAATTGAGTCTCTAATTGCACACTCTAGTAATGAACAGTAAGATTAATATGAAATTGAATTGAGTCTAAGCAAAGATTTGAATGTGGATTTAAATGAGAATACATAAATAAATACGTGTACGATACGATCAATATTGATGTTAAAATAACTCAATTCCAAATTTATATTGTCCTATGAAAATTGGACCTATCATCTCCCTGGGCCCCTCTTGTTTGGGGACCTTCTTCTTCGGCCTCCTTTCTGCACTTCTCAAGGTTTACATTTTAAAATTTTTAACAGCTTTTCAAACAGCCTTTCAACTTGTTATTAATAAGTAAATAAACAAATAGAATAAAAAATAGTTTGCTTTGGTAAGACGTTGCAAAGCTTGTGGCAATCTAGGCTGGTTAGGTGGAAGAGATGAGGACTTTAGCAGCACCTTGTACACTGTCCCTAATTTCACGCTTAAATGTCTATAAAACCCCTTCATCTTCTCCCATGTTTCAACTTTGCCACTCTCCTTTCTCTCTCATTCCTTTTCCTAGACCTCTCTCCATCATGGCCTCTGCAACTCCGGCTTCTTCTCAGGTAATTTACACTCAACTTACTTTCTGTTTGTTTCTTAAAAAAAAAGGAAAACAAAAGAAAAACTGGGGTTTTCTTTTTTGTATTGATTTTTATTTGAGAAAGAAGAAATTGATTGGAAATGAACTTTCTTTTTGTTATGAAATTAATGGGTTTTTTGTTTATGTTGCCAGGCCATGTCTCCTGGGGATGTTAACAAGGAAACCAATGTGTTTCAGTTGATTCAAGCTCACCAGGTTCGTTTAGTTTTGGGTTTGTAATGTTTAAACGTTTTTGTTGTATGTGTGTGGCTTTTGTTCGTTTTGCATTGAAGTCAAATGGGGTTTGGAAGTTATTGATACGGGGTTGTTTTATTTTCAGGAGAAGGCTGCTAGGCTTCCTCCGGTGGAGGAAATTCGAACCGTGCTTGATCAGAGCACGCGTGGCATGCTTTCAACTTTTTCACAGGTTTGTGATCATAGTACTAGTTAATCATTTATAATTTCTGGTTAATTGAGAGCGTGAAGGGTAATAACATGATACCTTCAATACTTGTTTAGTCTTTAAAAACAATTGTCTTAATTGTAAGAGTGAGTGGTTCTTGATTTGATTTTATGAACAAGCTGAAAGCTTGAAGATGGTTTTTGATTCCTGTCCTAGAGTTTTCATCTTTTTAACTTTTGTCGGATGCTTTGTGTATTCTATCTTGTTAAAAGAAACGAGAGGTACTTGAATGGTGTTAATACCTCATGAATTTTAAAAGTGAAAGTGACTTGTAATCACTTGTAACCTTCTTGTAAGAGTGTTGTCTGTTGCTCTACTCTTTCCATCAAGATTATTAGGAATATAGGATTTTGAAGGATTCTTGTTATGCAGATCATAATCTCATCAACTATCAGAGAATTCTAAAATTGAGAAAATGAATCTTGTAACCATTGCACATCTTCATAATGCATATAAACTTAATCAACTAGCTGCATGAGGTTCCTATAATCTAAACTTGTACAAGCTGTAGCTGAATCTTGCAAATTTTCCTCATTTTCATCCCTCCTAGCTGCACTTACAGTATCCTAGACCATGCTGTCAAAAGTTGAATGCTATTACTACTTATATTTTCTATACAGAAACTATATGATGGAAACAAGATCTTCCACAATCTAGGTTCCTTTGGCACTTATTTTGAAAGTCTACATATGGAATTAAAACAATGGCTTATATGTGCCTGATCAACTCATTTTAGGATTCCTTGTAAGTTTCCATATGCCACTACCAATAAGTGGGATCAACCTCTTGTTTGTTTGGTTTTCTTTGGTTTGGATAATTGGTTATAATATTCATTACTTAAGACATTTTTCTGGGTGTTACCACTCATTTTGACTTCTTTTCTATATGCAGAAGCATGAGGGTTATCCATCAGGGGCAATGGTTGACTTTGCATGTGATGCCAATGGATCTCCAATATTAGCAGTCAGCAGCCTGGCAGTTCATACAAAGGTTCTCACTGAGATTTGGAATTTTACCTGTATGAATGCTTTGAGTTGGAATCTATTCATCCATTGGCCTGGCTCTGAGGAATTACAAGAGGAGGGATTGAAACATCAAAGAGATATTGGATAGAATGTTTGGATTAGTCTTATGTGTGCAGATGGAGACCCTTACATTTGAATCATGTTAATTATCAGAATTTTATATTGATAATGATAGTCATGTTGCCAAGTTTGTGAAAGCCATTGTTGACAGCCAGGAAAGCTCTAATAAATGCTTGTGTTTTTGTTATTAGGATTAGTTGCTTATGTACTAGCCACCAACCTGCCCTCAATCTACCATTTGGAGCTGTCTCCGTTGTTAATCCTATTGTCCTTTTTTTGACAGGGTCAGCCAGTTTAGTCCTTTTTACCTAGTAATTATTAAAACTTGCTGCTTTCTGCAGGATCTATTGGCTAATTCCAAATGTTCTTTGCTTGTCGCTAGAGATCCGGAGGATAGGACTGATTTAGTAATCACCCTGCATGGTGATGCTGTTGCTGTAAGTTGTTTGTTATTTCCCTTTGCCCTGTTATGTATCTCTTAGGGTATTCTGATTTTAAACTCATTGTGAGCCCTACATCTTACTATTTAGCATCCTTACATTTAGTTCAGAAATATTTAAAATGCTATAGGTTTCTGAAAATGATCAAGCAGCTGTTCGAACTGCTTATTTGGCTAAACATCCCAATGCAGTATGGGTATGTGTGCCTTTCATCCCTCTGCATGCTATGTTCTTTGAATAAATGTTATTACCTTATCTGTTTAGATAGAAAACTCAACATATACTTTCATTTTGAAGGTTGACTTTGGTGACTTCCAATTTATGCTCATTGAACCAAAGGTTGTGAGATATGTATCAGGTGTTGCAACAGCTTTGCTAGGATCAGGAGGTTTGTGCTCTGATTATTTTTTCTGTATCATATCCTACATGTTTTCCACTCTGTTATCTGTTTTCTAGAGTATTAATGTTGCCCACCTCATATAAGGCTAGACACTGAGCACTGATTTTGCTGCTGCATCACCACCCATTTTATTTATCGTTTCAGCAACTCTTAGGGATTTGTTTGTGGTGCTATCCTATCTCCTAACCATCTTATTTTATTTTATTTTATTTTATCTTATGTATTTTCCTTTTTTTTATATGTTTAGAGTTCAGCAAAGAGGAGTACCAGGCTTCAAAAGTTGATGCAATAGCTCAATTCTCTAAGCCTGTTGCGGTATTTTGGCTGTTCATTTTCTTCTGTACAACATTTCATTTGTTCTTCTGAACTTCCTTTTCTGACCTTCTTATTGGTGCTCCATTTCTTTTTCAGTCTCATATGAACAAGGATCATGCTGAAGACACAAAAGTCATTGTGCAACATTCAACATCAATCCCGGTAATTAGGAATATTACTTTTAACACTCTGTATCTTATAGGAAGTGGAAAATCTTATCCATATTATATTGAATCCAGCTAGCCACTGCTGGTTAAGCTGGAAAATTAAAGAACATCCCTCAATAGCTGTCCTAGGCCCACTACTGAAATTAGAGTAAGAGAAATGAATAATTAATGCTGAATGTTTTCATTGGGTAGCATTTATAGTTTAATAATTTGGCTAAAATTGTTGAATTTATCAGTGTCTGAGTTCAGGCTGCCATGTGTACCGATATCTGCCCAGATGTTTCTTCAATCCAAAAGTGCATCAATATTTTTAATAACTTTTTTTGAGACTTAATATTTAATAATAACATGGTTTCTACAATCTTCACCTGCGATAGAACCACACCCCCCCCCCCAAAAAAAAAAAAAACTAATGACTTTTCTTCTCAGAACATGACTTGCAGATCCATTTCTTAGCAAGCTTCCATCACTTGTATTCAATGTGATGATTTTCCTTTTCCTTGGTTTTTTACATCAAAGACCTTTTATTGACAGAGACTTTTAACATATCTTGCTATTGTTCTTGCCCTTTCCCTAGCTGATTTTTGTCTCTCTCCAGGTGGACTATGCTTACATGCTGGATTTGGATAGTCTTGGATTCAGTGTCAAGGTTCTGATAACTTTTAACCTTTTATACAGAATCTATTGTATTGGCTAATGGAAACTGACTTTTGAATTACTTGGAAATTAACTATTCTGAAAATTCCCTTCACTATTGCCATGCAAGTTAATACTTCTCCACATTCAAATTTTTGCTATATGACCCTTTTTCCCTTTCCTTTTTCCCTGCAGGCTGGTTATCAAGGAAAAACTTTCAAGCTTAGGATTCCTTTTCCTAGACGTGCTGAAGACAGAAAGTGAGATATCTTATGTGAAAGATTTCTAATCTCTGGAGAAACTTTACATGATTTTTTACTTGTCATCTATTCTAAATAAGGCATTTTTGCTGAGATTCTCATCTTAATTTTCTTTCCCAACAACAATGAAATTTATAACATCATGGCAAAAGATACTGAAAGAAATGGGAGGACAGGCATATTGTCTTCTTTGGTCCGGTAATTTAAATAGGAACAACTTGATTGTCTTTTGCTCTGGGTTGTTTCTGACTGGCTAAGACTTCACGTAAAAGAACAATAGCCTGGGGGGACACTATGTGACGTTTGACTGTGTTATTTGTGTTTTATTCGTGTTCAATCTGATTTTTCTTGTATGTCTTAGGGATGTGAAAACCCTCATAGTAGATATGCTCCAAGCTGCCCGGTCTCAAGTCAATTGACCACGCTGCTAAAAGAGACCTAAGAGGTGAGAAAGTTTTCAATTTCTGAAAAATTCTGCTTCAACTACATTTTTGCTTTCACTTAGCAATAAATGAAGACTTCTGTTTGTATAAAACTGAACTGCACATCTTTATGATTGTAATTGCTCAGGTTGAGCATGGTAAAGGAAACCTAGTCTGAATATTCTTTTCAGAAAACTATTAAATTGTCTTATGAAATATGTGCATCGTAAAACTGCCATCTAGCTTAGATGCTAAATCTTTAGGTTGTGCTGAATTACCATGCATAATGAATTGTGCACTGGCAGTGTTATCCGAACTTGGAGTCTTATCATGCTTACTGGCTTGTTTTTGCAGGATCCCGTTTTATATTTGCATCTTACTTCTACAGAATACAGACCAACATAGAATTCCAAAAGACATCGCAATAAAGATACAATTCCTGAAGAAAACCAGCTGAGATAATTGGCTTTTTGCATCTTATACCTCAGAAACTTTCATTTCATGTTGTTGTCATTAGAGTTAATGAAACCATTTGAAAATTGAAAACATGAGATATGAAACGGGTTTGGTAATTCCTGTATATACTTTGCCATGATATAATAGCTTCTCCTTTCCCTTACTGTCCTTATAAAGTAGAGTTTGATAAAAGTTGAACTGTTGCAGCCAAAATATAGCTGGATGAGATTCAAAGGTTTGGCAGAGTAATTTGACTGAATGGTCATGTGCACAGAGAATATTAAGAGACTAGCAAAGTACTTTGTTCAATTCCCAGTGGATATTCTGTGGATTTTAAAGTTGCAACCACCAAACAGCCATTGGCCAGGGCGTTTGGGAGCTAATAAAATGATTAAGGTTAGATTTAACATGGATCATCTGAATTGCTGATGCCAACCTTGTGTTACTTTTCCTTCTACAATAGTTTGAGCCTTTCGGTTGTTTCCAGAGCATTCAGATACTTAATTTGCTTTTGAAATGGATTCTGTTGCTCACTAATCAGGAAAGAATGCAGAATTTCCATCCAAATGCTCCTCCAGGGCACAAAATCTTGGGAAAATTTTCATATTTGGTTTCTCTAGGGAGAGAGGGTGTACTTGAATTCTTGTAAGGAGAATCCAACCAGAGCAGACACTGACAAATGCTACCCTCTAAAATCAACAGTACCATTGTCATATGGTTTTTGCCAGGCATAATGATCAGGCCAATCTAGCCATCGAATTTCACAATTTTTGACCATATGTACTATTTCATTTGACCACACGCATAACAGTAAGGACAAAGTCTAAATGGGATTTCAACGTGGTGCTCTTACCTCCATAGTTTGCCAAAATTATACAATTTGTTCAGGAAAAAAAGGTAGAAAGAAATGAGCCACATGCATTTGTCTGCAGTAAATTTTGGGAGTATGGGAATGAATTGAGAGGAAAGATGATTATTCTCATTTATAAAAATGAAATTTTTAACTTCTATACAACAAACCCTGCAGGGACTCCTTAACTTTTCTATACTTTTCTCTCCAAAACTCCAACAACCCCATTGACATCAAATGCAAAAATATTCCCCAAAATTCAGAAGAGAAAAAGCCTCTGCTGCTGCCATATATGGACATATCTCTCAATCTGAATCACTTTCCATACTCCCCATGGCCTTCAATCCTCTGGGTCTCTGCATAATGCCAAACCACATGATTAAAAAAAGAATTAACTACATCTGCAGAATATATTGAAAACTGCAAATCAAATCTCAAAAATTATTGTAGAAATCTAGAGGAAGAGAGACCCAATCATGTACCTTCTTAGAGCTCTTCTTTTCCCTAACTTCATACCTCTCTTGGCACATATCAGTCAACCATGCCCCAGGGCTCACCAGCTACCGACCACCAAAAGATGTCAATATTAGACCAAAAATGGAAAACAAAATTCAATGAAATCCACAACATCTAAATCATCATGTCTCAATCCTGCATCTCCAAAAAGAAACCAACCCAAAAACCAATTCAAGTATTTGATATCATCAATTTTCTTTTCCCCATCAAAAAGCAAAAACTACACATGCTTCAATTACTGAAAGATATGCATAAATCCAGCAATGTTACTTACAAGTAAGCTCCTTTGGATAATCTTGGCTCTCTTTTTAGGCCTTTGAGGGGGCTTACACCCTTTCATTGCCATAAAATCTTCCTCTTTCTCTTTGCTTGACAAAGTGATAAACAGCTTTGGCCACACTAGCCCTTTGTTATCCTCTCCATTATTACAATCTGCAACCTTCCCATTCTCATCCACCAAACCTACTGATGAGCCCCTTGTTGTGTAGAACCTATCCTCCTTCTCCGGTGACAAAGTTTTCCGGTGCTCCGTTGTACCTGACCGGAGCATAGCTGCCTCAGAATTCCTACAATAAAACATACCAAAAAAGAAGTAAATTTCGCAGTTCTACCAGTTTGCTTATACATTATAAAAATTTTACATGGGAATTTCTTAACACCGTGTTTGGTTGCAAAGGGACCAAAAAATGGTAACCATAAAACTAAAATAAAATAAAGCAGACAAATTCAAACTTCCCTTCTCTCTACTCCCAGCAACCAAACAGGGCTCATTTTATCGGAAATAAGAAATTCCTTAACCGCTGCTAGGTGGCTGAGACACGGAAATAGTCTTTTTCTTTCTTTTTTCTTTTTCTTTTTTTTTTGCCCCCCAAAATCCCATAGCCATCCACAGCTAATTAGGATAAAAAGTTAAACGAAATTCAATCTTTTCTCAGAAATCAAACAAAAGGGTAACAAAATATTTTTTAAAAAAATTGTAAATAACGAAGAAAATCTCATCTTTTCCCAAACCAACAAAAGGGGCCAAGAAAATTTCAGAATTTTTTTTTAAAAAAAATGCCCAAAAAAATTGATCTTCTTACCTAGTGAGACGATGATTGGGCTGAGAAAAAGGGGAGGATTCCTTGTCTAAAAGCCGAGAAGTGATTCTCCTACGAATTACAGCATTTGATTTATGAGAGATTTTTTGAGGATCTTTAACTCTCACACATCTTAGCCTCTTTCTATTCCCCCACTGTAAAAATAGCTCCGGCTCTATTGTTTTGCATGTTTTTTGGCCCCTCTCTTCTTTCTCCATCTCTGCCATCAACAACAACAAAACCAAATTAAATAAAAAAAAAAGCTTCCACTTTTTTTACCCAAAATAATCAAATTTGTAGAAAAGTGACAAAATTTTGAAAGACCCAAAATGGAATATTTGTTGAAAGAGGATTCAACAATAAATGGATTTATTATTTTTTCCCTTGGAGAAAACCCATTTGGGTGGTGGTTTATCCTGTGAAAATCACAGAACTGATGAAAACAAAGTTTGGGTTTTTGCTGTTTTTAAGTAAAAAGTGAGAGAAGAGTCATCAGAGGAGACAAGCTTTAAGGAGAGAGGAATTGGTTGCCAGACCTTAAAGATCTAAACAAATTACACTATAATCTTCAGAAAAGACCTGAAATTCCAAACAAAAGAGATGTTAATTACCAACTTCACAAAAAAAGTCTGGAATAACAAAAGAAGAAGAAGAAGAACAAGAAATCTTACAGTGGTATACTCTCATCCCAGATGGAAAACAAGAGTTGGAATTATTTTTTCCTAAATTATTGCTTCAGTTTCCCTGTTTTGTTTGTCAAATTGAGGAGTGCTCTCTTCTTGCACTTTCTCTGTTTCTCTTCAGTCTAATTCTATTCTGTCTCTTCTCTCCAACCTTGCTTTGTGAATTGTGAATCCTTTCTTTCTCTTCTCCCTCTGTTTATTATTTATCATCTTTCTCCCCCAGTCCTACCAATACTGAAAATAAAAATAAAAGTAGATTAATAGGGACCGTCAGATTTTGAATTTTATGGCTTGATGGCATGTCGGGTCCCACTTTAGTTGATTATCAATTTTCATTTTTTTTCTTCCATTATAGGTTATTATATTAAGCAAAAAGACAAAATTATTTGTATACAAATTGAGCGAGTTGGTTAACCAATCCAAAACCAACCTTGGGCTAAAAGCACCTTGACTCCCTTTGGGCTTTCCAAGACCTTACCGAAGACGGGCTTCAGTCCGGTCCTAAATATATTTATGGACAAAGGAATATTATAATAAGATGCTCTTTTTCCTAATAAAATAGAAAATAAATTAAATATTCAAATAAATCTCTAAATTATATTAAAAATTTTAATTTAATTCTTATCTTTTTATTTCACTTAAATAATTTTTAAAATTTTTATTTTTAATCAAATAAGTCTTTTTCATTAATTATTAACTAACTTTCGTTAGTTAATGATAGAATCAATAATTTTTTATGTCTCGTTATCTGTCACATAACATGTTGACATATTATCTTGATAATGTCAGTGTCACATGATGAATAATGTGACATAAAAAATTATTAACTCGAAATTGAATTTTATTTCTTTTTAAATGTCTAAAAATTATTGATTAAAAATTTAAAATAAAAAATTAAAAAAACTAATTGTGAAATATGTATATATATATATATACGGAACCCTTTATACTTTTGTGAAACGTATTTTTTGTATATCTTTGATTCTTTAGACTATAATTACTCGACATATTTTATATTGTTTTAGGTCGGCTGACACTAACAAAATATAATTAAAAAATTTGAACCTTTTTCCCATAACCTTTTGTTGTTTATAAGATATGGTGATCATCTTATCACCGTTATAAATAAAAACAAATTGAAGAAGCTTTACATTATAACCTAAAAGTTAACCTCTTTCTTTTTCCCTAATAAGGAACCAGCTATTTAATTATAATTTCTTGCAAATAAAAAAAATTATAATTTCCTTATGTAATATTTTTTAATCTTGGAGCTTAGCTTTTCCTAATATGAAGACAACCAAATAACCATTCACTCAGCTAAAACAACAATGACATTGTTCTTATCGGCCCTTCAAGCCTAGAGGAATTTCAAATCCTTCATAGTTTTGACTTTAGTTTAACTTCACAAATTTTCAATCAATTTAGTGCATCATTAATTAAGGAAAATTATCATTAAACAACGGGAAGAAATTTTTTTATATAAGTAAACTCATTAATATGAAAAAGGAATAATCTCTTTACAGCATGGAATTTACTGTTATAAAGTCAAAACACCAAATATTGCATCACAAAGGAATAAGCACAACCTCATCTAAAAAAGAACTTTACCAAAAAAACTCCTCAAAATTTCCTTCTTGTCTAGTAAAAAAAAAAATCTCATCATCAAGAAGTCAACCGGCATTTAAAAGAAAGCTCACAATCCTGTGTCATTACAGTAGAATCACTAATGTCCCGAAAAAGACACAAGCACAAAATATAAATTAAATATTATCGACTTTATGGTAAAAAATTGATGAGATGGTTCTTCTATAGAACTGCAGCTGATTCGCAATCTTATTGACATTTGGCAAAGTGTGAATTGTCTTTCAATTTAACAGTAAGATTATCGAGTTATGTATTGATATTTTTAATTGTACTCGTAAAGTTTAAAACTTCTGTCCATGGCGTATAAAAAAATAATCCGCTTATACGTAATTTTTTCTTTTTAATACATAGAATTTGGTTGGTAAGTGATGTAATGTTATTTGCCTTTAGCCTCCAAAAGGCACGCCACTATCCTTGATAGATAGATAGATATATATAAACAAGTGAGCCATTTAAGTCAAGTTCAAATAAAGAAAAAAGCTCCAAATATCGATCCTGATCCTCAGTTTCCCAGTCTGGTCCTTTCAGCCGCTACGTTTTCTTTTGCTTGCTTAATTTCAAAGCGTTTGAATTTGGAAGTGTGCTCTTGAAAGTTTGAAATTCTTCCTTAGAATTTAGTGTAAAAACAATCATTTCGTTTTAACAAGGAGCTACGCATCTTGGGAACCAGCTTCATCAAGTCAACTAGAGGCTAATGGAGAAGCGTATTATCTTGACTTCTCTCTCATTTCTTGGATGCTGCCTGAATCATTTGATTATGGTGAAAGACATATCTCTTAGCTGTGCTGTAATTTGTATTTTATATATATAGTTTTAACTACTTCTGTGTTCATTATCTAGGTTAGAGTAAATTTTGATTGGTTTTCAATTGGTGTTTTTATATTTTTTTAATTGTTTTGTAATGGTATGAAGATTTAGATTTGTATAGTTATTTTCTTCAACTATCATTTTTATGTTTTTTGAAAAAATTTATTATTTTAAGTCTGAAGATCTCATCCTTTTTGTAAGAATATTGGACTTCTGTCAAAAGAGGATGTCCGGATTCAATTTCTTCGCTATTTGTTTACCATTTGATTCTGTTTTTTGTAGTGTTTACTAATCCTACATAATATTCTTCAAACCATGTAAAAAATTTTATTATAATCTGGTGATTTTTCTATGAAATTGTAATATTCTTATAGGATTTAATCCTTTCACTTTTATAGGTTTCTAAATAATTTTTTCTTTTTTGTTTATTTTTCTCAAAGTAAAAATGCTTTCTACACCATTCTTTATTGATTTTAAACTCTTTTTCTAGTACCAAAATTTTAGAATTTTTTTCATCAATTATAATTATGTTTGAATTATTGGTCATTGACGAATATGTTGAAGACATATTAAGTGAATTGGTTAAGTTAGATTTTTGCTTATTATATATTGTTTGAGGTATATTCGAAGAATTATCTATCTCTTATAAATTCGTCCTAACGGTGGATGGTATTAAAGAAAATGGAGCTCTAATTGTCTTAAAGTTCGTTTTATGAGTTGTTATAGATCCAACATTATCCAAGACAGCTGTCTTAAATAAAAAAGTTCGTCAAATTTTTACAAGTAAAATTAAATACAAGTACACTACTTACCTAACCAAAAAATGAATAAAAATACAAAAAAAAATTATAACAGAATTGCTTCTATCTATCAACTCTAATAAAGAAGATCAACAAGAATGTAAGATTTCTGAGTCATCCGACAAAACTACTTGCTTGAATCAAGATAAAGACAATGCGCTACTAAAAAGGAGTAAGAAGTAAAACAAAAAGGTAAAATATATAAGCAAGATTATCTTCTATGATGAGCTAAGCTAAGCCTGCGGGCAGCTATGTTTCCCTCTTGTCTAATGAAGGCAAGACACACACAGGCACTCCTAAGTTACTAACTCGTTTAAAGTACATTTAGAATGATTTTCCGATCAAAACCTTCTCTCTTCTTTTATCTTTTTTGTTTTTGTTTTTTACAGTCTGTTTTCAAATTTCATTTTATTTTTCATTACTTAACATAAGTTCAAGTAGAGTCAGAACATAAAATATAATATCGAATTAGTTCGGATTCCATTCCAAATTGATTTAGATCACTTAATAAAAAACATGGAAGCAAATTCATTACATATTTTGACAAAATTTCAAAACAAAATCGTCTCATTTTCTCTGATTACGATCATCTTTCTTACATAAAATTGAGAGTTAAAATTCAAATTCGAAATTTGAATCTATTCTCCTTAACAATTTCTCAAATATATCAAAGTAATGAAAAGATGGAAGCATGAGAAAATTAAAAAGTTGGAGATATGTGGACCGTTGCACTGGCAATGATAAGATGAACATAAGGCAGTCTAATTCAAAGAGCAGGGGATCCATGCCATTGGTTATTTTCCCAATACCATAATTGCAACTCAAAAAGAGTGCTTAAACTTGTCTGAAGTTAATAATTAAAAGGATGATGCTACTCCCAAGTTGTTGCTAACAACCAAGCCTTAATGAAGATTGGGTCGTTAGACAGCACTGTTCAACACCTTAATATCATTTTCAATGACTTTTATCTTTATTTCCGTTCTGTTTGGTGGCAGCTTCTGCCTGCATTCGAAAAGCAGAGGGGGATATGAGATAATATGATTGGATTGCTTGCTTACAATGGAAGAGAAAGGAGGGCAATTGCATCCATACATTGCATGCTTTCTTCCATCAAAGAGTGGAAGGACAATAATTTAATATGATAACTTATCATACATCTTTTTGTAATTGCACTTTTGTTTGTACAGCAAAAATAGAACTAAGTAACTCCTCTCATTTCAATACAATCAAATAAGTAAATTGGATAGTAGAGATATTCAATATGCAATCCTTTTTTTTTACAGGAAAATGAGAGGGAGAAAAAAAAATTCAAAGGCAACTCATTTAATAGAAAAATACTTTAATCGATTATTAAGTTAAATATTCAAATGTTAAAAGTCATGGTTTGTCTACCAATGACAAAACTAAACTTTTTAATCTTTCTTTTTCAACTTAATTATCAAAATAAGATTATCAAAAACAAATAAGTAATTCGATGAAAGGGGATTATCTTCCTATACGTTATTCTTTGAATTATAACGAAATTTGTATTCGAATAGGATTGAGACAGCCTGCTACATATGGCAATGGGATACAATGACAAACATATTGGATGTGAAAAAAAATGATGATTAATTAACACTCTGGTGGGGTGACTTCAACTAACAAACTCATACCACATGACATAGTTCAATGAATTTTTCAGTTGAAGTGTAAATTAAGCCACAATCATGTGACAGCAACAATCAAAATCAGAGAAAAAAAATACTTCATTAATTACAAAAAGTAGGATGCAAATGGGTCTTTACACACTTTTTTTTTTTTAAAAAAAAAAAAACTAACTCTCCATGTTTTATTTGCTTCATATGAATTTTGTGGATGTGAATTGTGGAAAGAAGGAGATGGTGGCTTTGGAGAAACTTTAAAAATAAATAAATAAAAAATGAGCAAGATTTTTGTGACCTTAGACAATGAAATGGGGTGATATGCATCGCTCTAAAACCATTGCTCGTGAACCATATTGTCCTATTGTTACCCCAAAAAAAAAAGATCTAGTGATGAAATTGCGAATGTGAGGTTGAAATGTAGATAGCAACTTAGAGGTTCTAATTTTGAGCCTCTTGATTGGTTAATATAAATTGCATTAACGTCTCGTTTATAAGTTTTATATATCTCAAAAGATAACATTATTTAAAATTTATAAAAATCATGTCTCCACAGTAGATATATAAACTTTATATGGTATGATGAATATTAATTTTGTCCAACGGATTAATCACCTTATATATCTCGACCTTTCTCTTTCACTAAAAAAAAAAATTACGAACAATTATGTACCTTACCTTTAATTATCACAATTGATAAGGGGAAAATAGTTTTTATTTGTATTAAAAAATGGTTATAAGTAATCAAATGCCCATCCTTTCAAAAAGTCATTGATAATTGGGGGCAGGTGATGTGATAATTGGTGAATGCCAGTGAATCAAAGGGTCCCAACAGCTAACACACCACCCTTCATCTCCAACAAAAGGAATTCAAAATTTTGAACTTCAATAATTATTAATAAAAAAACCGACACACCAAAATATCTTCTCCTAAACCAAAATCTCATAAAATAGTCTTTTTATTGTTATTTAATCTCAACGAATCCCAAGATTGCCATCGGAAAATTGAACTCAAACCACAGAACATGATTTCGTATGGGGTTAAAATAGTCTTTTTGAAAGACTCCAAAAGTAGTTCTTTTTTCAAAATGAAAGTTTCTATAGAACTTAGCTGCCCAGACTGCCCAAACAAAAGTGGTAGTTAAAGGAAAAGGTTCCCTCCAAAGAATGGCCACAAAAAACCGTTGGCGACAGCTGTATGGCACCTAAAGGTTAAAGCCACCCTGTCCCAACAAACGGGCAGCCCCAAATTGGAAACCCTGTGCATGTGGTTGATGCAACGGTCACCTTGGGCAACTTGCCCGTAACGCCCCTAAATTTTCTCTTGCCCCCATCACCTATATAAATCCCATTTTATGCCACCCCACTATTCCTTGTCCCAATTTGCTTAGCAACATTTCACCTTCCTCCTCCTCCTCCACACGTTCAATCCCCTCCCCTTGCAACAAAATCTTCCTAACGTCAACAATGGAGGCATTCAGGATGAGACTATTTTTGGCCGTGGTGGTCGTGTTGATGGCCGTGTCCGCGGTCCAAAACGTTGCGGCAGCTGATGCCCCGGCCCCTAGCCCTACCTCAGACGCTACCACTTTCGTGCCCACCGTGTTTGCTTCCCTCGTTGCTCTTGCATTTGGAGTTCTGTTCTAAAATGGTGGTGTTGCTGAGTTACAAAATTTAATTTCTGATCTTCAAAATTGGGGTTTATATAAGTTCTCTTCTTCGATTCTTTTTCTCCAAAGGGCATAGACAACTTTTTGTTAGTGCATTATGTGGCAGGATTGCGATTCGAAAGAGAAGAAAGCTTGGGGGGTTTTTTGGGTTGGGATTCTGCTTTCTACATATATTCTTTTTTTCCTTGTGACTACTGGTCATTGTATTCATATTTTTCTATATTGTTTCCATTTTTAATGTATAATTAATTGATGTGATTTGCTTGTTGGTGACCTAATTAATTATTTGTTTGTTCATAATTTCACTTTATTCTCATTTATCCCTTTCCCTTCGGGAAGGTTGTTAACGTGGTTCCCCTATCACAGCCAAACATTTTCCATGAAGAGAAGTACCATCACTTTCTTTTGTTTACTCAAATCATTTCACAGTTTTGTTCTTGCAATTAAAACTTGAATTTACAAACATAATGGGGAAATTGATTGTGATCCATCACTTTCTTGCAAGAGAAAAAGGATTACAAAACCCGTTGAACTTTTTATATTTATAAGAAAATAAATAAATCTTTTTGTAACTATATAATAATAAATATTTAAGTATTTGATTTATTAATTAGTATATAATTATTTAATTTTTAAAAAAATAATAATAAAATCTATTTTAATCAATATGTAAATGCCCTGTTTTACAATGAGCTGGTGTTAATTTTATTTTTTAATTATATATTTCTTTTGGTCTTGCATGTATTTGTGCGGGCCTCAACACTTTAGCTTGTATTATTAAAAGTATTAGGATAATCTATATAATATATAAATAAGGTTATTATATAATAAATGCAAGTATTAAAAACTTTATTTTTTTAATAAATTAATATTAAATGTTAAATAACTAAATTTAGTCTCATATTCTATTAAGTTTAACTAAAATGATAAGAAACAAAAAATTCATATAATATTATGATATTAAATTCAATATTTTCCTTATTCTATCATTTAATGAATCCAAAAGAAATAAGTATTAAAGAGTCATTGTAGAATTTTTTTTTTTCCTTGAGTGTCTACACATGAATGCTAACAATAAATACTAAAAGTTATGTGTTGTGAGACTTATAAATAAACAATATAGTTTTGGGTTTTTGATTACATGATTTCAAATGTGAAGCCTTCGTGAATAATTCATTTATTTATTTTTATATTAATAAGAAATTATTATAATATTGATATCTCTGTTTTTTACATTTCATTAATTAATGATTTGAAAATGAACTTTGGAAATGATAAAAATAAGTCAATTAATTTTTCATATTCTACTGACCACTTAATTTAATTAGAATGGTATAACAAAGGAAGAATTTTATTGATTTCAATCCTTTTATATTTTATCAATTAATGATTTAAAAAATTAGTTTTTGTTCAATATAATTAAGTTTCGCACCTAATTTTACTACTAGTATAACATTGTTATAAAAGTAATTTAACTACTTTAATTTAATAATTTATCTAAAATTTTAAGTTTAGACCAAAAAGCCTAAAACGTTCATAATAATATAAGAGATAAATGTTTATGATTTTATTATTTATTATTTTAATATCACTCCTAATAATCCATATTATATCAAATTGGCATAATATACAAAAAACCTTTAAACCATTCAAGAAAATTTAAATACGCTCTTATATTTTTATTGTGTTCAATCAAAATTTTATTTTACATAAAATAAATTTTTATATTCTTTATTTTTAGTCAAATAAACTTTTATAATTAATAATTGACTTACTTGAAATATCATTTGTTATTTTATATTGCTTTACGCTAAAGTGATATAAAATATCATAATTGATTATAATGTGGTATACTAACATATCATAATTGATAATGACATGATACATTAATTTAACATGATAATATAATCATATGATATTTTTTATTTTTCACATCAATTCTATTTGGATATAAAATAATAAGTAATATTTTAAATAATAATAATAAAGTATCAAGAATTAATAATAAGAACTTATTTGATTTAAAATAAATATATAAAAATTTAAATGAATGTAAAATTTTTATTTAAATATTTTAAATAATTTAAAAACTTATAAACGTTATGCTTATAAAATTAACATTTCCTTTGTTAATAAAGGCTTTTCAAAACCCAAACAGAGCCCCTCTGAGGATGCTTTTGTAATTTCCAAAACCATCTCTATAAGTCTAGCAGTAAACCCTAGCGCTCAACCATCTTAAAATCCTAGCCATGGTCACCCCGGTACCGGATCTTCTCTTCTCTCGCAATCTACAGTCCCTTTTTTTTTTTGTCTGTTTTCGAATTAATGCTCGTCTTCTTCTTCTTGTTGTTGCTGGTTTAATATTTGCCTCTTGGAGTAGCCATGTGAATGAAATCGAAGTTTCACATTTGGCTTAGTTAGGAGGCAGAAATCAATTCAAAAACCAAAGATATCGTTCAGATATTTTTGGCCTCAGGCCTTTTGAGGGGACTCTTTTCTTTTCATTCTTCATCAATTGTTCCCCAAGCAGCCTTGGACATTGTTGTTCCCTTTTCCAATTTCCCATGTTCTTCCTTTTATTCGGAGTAAAAATTAATTAATTAGCTTTTTGTCATGTCTTCTTTTTTTTTTTTGTGAATTTATGGAATAGAAATAATGCCTCCAGAATAACCAGAAGGTTAGATTATGATCCGACGCCGTCTGGTTCAGACAGAGGCTTAGAGCAATTCGAATCCGTTTGAGGGTAAGGGACGATATTCCTCCGTTCCTTTCCTAGATGTCTTCGTATATTTCCCTTTTTAACCCCCTTTCATTTCTTCTTAGTAACTTTTTGTCATAATAATTAAGTATAATTTTCAACTAATCAAAAAAACTTGACTGAATTTATCTTTTTATTGTGTTTAATCAGATTTTGAAATGACATGTGAACATGATGTATGGATTTTTCATTTCTTATGCCATAGATGATATTTTAATTAATGAAATTTTATAATTATAAAAATTTATTTCATTAAAAATAAAAATTTGATTGGGTTTGACTGAAAGTAGAATTTTTAGACTTCACAGGCACACATATATTATTTAACTTAATAAGTTAAACTAATTATTAAACAAGGATATAATTCAAATTTATAAACAGGAGTATTATGCCTTGTTTTGGTTTGCATAAATAAAACAACCAAATTAGACTACATTATTTCCTTGTTTAGCCAATTGACCGGCTGTGCACATAACAGCGCTAATAAAAACTATCTGAAATCGAAAATAAATATCCAAATTAGACTGAACACAAGTTTCTCACTGTCAAAAGTAAAATCAACCCCTCTGACTTAGCCACAATTGAAAATTAAGCATTATTATCTACTGAAAAATGGTATATTGGGTTGCTGCCAACACTGCCAGTGGGGCTTTTGGGTCCAAGTCCGAGCCTATACTTGTATTGATAAAATGATTTACTTGTAAGTAATCTAAACATAATTACAATTTAGAAGCATTAACTTTAAAAGAAAAAAAAAAGAAAAGAGATTGATAAGAAAAAAAGGCTTTAGGCTGTTCTACAATTTAGAATATTGTCTGTTTCTCTGGCTTTGCTTCTTCTCACTGCTTGGCTTTTGCTCCTTGGCATCGCTTGTCTTTTGCTCTCAATGATCATCTTCTTCTTCCTTGCAAAGTATTTTATAAGCCCTTCCAGCACCATCGCAGTTAGCTTGCTTGGCTGCTGGCTTTCATCATCAGTCCCTACTTCACTCTCCTTCTTCAGCTTCTCCCACGAACCACCATCATCAAGTTTGTCTTTTAAGTTTCTCAACCTCTTTAAGAACTCAAGGTCAATGGCAGATTTGTTGATGAAGAAACAATGAAAGAAACAGTTGCTTAGTATGAGTACATGGGGTCTTTGATTAATTCCTAATTCTAACTGGAATCAAATTACCCCCTAGATTAGCTTGATAAACAAAGCAAATCAGTCTGACCATGTATTGATTTTACCAAGTTAATTGGGTTGAAGGGATGAAGTACAAGTATACCAATGCACTAAAACATTTCATCCAGTAAGCATAATCTTCCTTCAAGTACACTTACTCATGGCTATCTTGTTTTTTTCTTCCAGGAAGCAAGTAATGTGATGCATAATGTACCAATCTAAATATTTCTAGTGGTTTTTTGTTTCAACATTGTTTGTATAGACAGACATGAAGGAAAGCCTTGAGATAAACCGGATGGTGTAAAACGGCACCGTTGCAAATGATAATTAATAGATAAAAATTAAATTTTAGTATTTTATTGAAGGGGAGTTTTTAAAAGATATTTGTGAGAATAGAAATTATTATTTTTATACAAAAAAAGTCATTGCAAATGTCAAATAAACTAAATTTTGTTCATAGTTTGTTCATTCATGCTTTATATTTTGGATATCACTAATAAATTTGAAATTAACAAATTAATTAATTGAATCAATCTCTCATTGTTGCAAGAGTAGAATTTGTCTATTGATGATAAATGAAATATATATATATATATATTTCATATGCGTTTCTACGTTTTTATAAATAGAATTTGGACGGAGATAGGATTCCAATTGAATTCTATAAATAATTAAGAGATACAAGCATTTATATTTGTATCCAATTTTCAGGTAATATGTTTTATCGTACAAAACTAAATGGAAACAAGTACCTAAAATTTTAGTAACACATAGACAATATTTCAATAATTTAGGTTATTAAAATCAAATAAAATGCTAGTAAAAAATGTATTTGGGGATGTTAAAGATGAATCTGAAATTTAAGTAACTCATAGGTAATATATCAGTAAAATTCTTTCAAAAAAAATATATCAGCAATTATTTAAATTATTGAAATGACAGATGATTATTGAAAGAGTACTTACAAAGTTAAAAGAGTATATAAAATTTTAGTGATTTGTATAGAATAATTTAGTAATTTAGATTTTTAAAATCACATAAAATGTTATTGAAAAAGTATTCAAATACTATTTAACCTTTCGATAACATATATATATATATTTATATATATATTTGATAACTAAAGGAGAAGGATTCGGATCTTACTTTTTAAGAAAGAAGATCATATATCAATTAATGAACTAAATTATTAAAATGACATATATATATGTATAAAATAAAACTTTAACATATTAAACCATATTAACAAGTTTTGAAAATATATTTAAAAAGTTAAAAATATCAAATATGAGGTAAAGTAAATAGATTAAATGTGAAAAGATACTCGAAACCATCTAAAAGAGTAATTAATTATTTTATTTTTTGGAATTTATGTAATCTATCATTTTTTTAAAACAATAAAAATAATACATTTATGTTAAAATAACGCATAAAAATAAAATTATCATAATATCTTTAAATAAAATTGAAACACTGTCACTAAGAAGATCTCTGAAAAACATGATTTAATATTAAATCATGATTAAAAAATAACTAGTAATAATCATGATTAAATCATGGTTGAGGATCATGATAATATTCATGAGGCTAGGAAATGAAATAATGACAATGGTCAGTGGTTTATCCCAAAAACCCAACATGGAAAGACAATGAAAATCTCATTTGATTAAAGCCAATTTAACATGCTGGATTTTAATCAAGGTGTGCTTCACTGCAGTTGGGAAGCCTTGCAACAATTGTCACCTTCCCCAAATGTCATAATTTTCGTCCACACCATAAACTTTTAATTGCCTGTCATAAAATTAAATGGTAACAAGTCTCAGATCTCTAATTTTATGGGTTAATGGGCTCTCTTCTTGCTAATGAACCAACCAGCATGAGGTGAAAACAGAAAGAAAAACAGCCCAATATCACATAGTTCAGCTATTCACACCTCAAATTCTCAATTCTTGCAACCAACTGGCTTTGCCCTCAAACCCCAGCCTTCTCTTCCTGTCCCCTGGAGATGTTCAATGATTTATAAAGCAAAATGATTGAAAGTCAGGAGAGAGAGAGGATATTGCAATCTAGCATGAGTAGGTATGTGTTTTTTCAAAGCCCGAAGAAACTAACTTAAAACCATATATAATATGTTGCAGGCAACTAATCTTGTCAATTGGACTGAATGATTCCAAGTTCTAACCAGTTGACATGATTACATTATGTAATATCTTAATTTGTTATAAGAAAACAATGGAAGAGCAACACTTTTCCAGTTTCCACTGCCCATTTTCTTTTAAGTAAGATGAATTCATTTCTATGATTTAAATGATACATGCTGGATATTTTACAACCATTTAATGCCTTTTTTTGCCCTTTCTGAACTCTTTCACTGGACAAAGTCAAATCAATTGAATTTGTAATGTAACCAACGTGCAACGTCAAATCCTGCCAGAAAGAAGAAACCTTCGTGTGCTCTATGCAACTTGAGAGAGCGTCCCTGTGGCCCTGCCATGTTACCGACCTGGAAAAAGCTGTGTCTGATCATTTCTTTTCTTTTATGTTTGTTATCCCATCAATTTATTTCTTCTCTTCTTTCAGCCAAGTGCACTAAGTAAGCAGACGTAAAGGTCGAAAACCAGATACGGTTGGTTCATGTACATAGCCATAATACTAATCAAAGTTGGACAAACAGTGTATATTCCAAATGGACCAGGATGCTTGTCATCTATTTGATAGCCCGAACCAAAAGCAGTAACATTCACATGGGGAACTCGAGAAATGAAGATTCCAATCCAAAACAAAACAGTTTTGCATATTCTGAATCTTTTTTTGGTTTGGAGCTATTGACCGGTTCTATGCAATTTGCCTTTGCCTACACATGGCAAACCCAACGTACCAACTTGCATTCTAAGCAGGTTCTTCTGGGGAAATACACGGAACCCAACGCATGCATCCAAGTGAGCAGTCACATCAGCAGTTTCTAGTAAACCCCATGTGTCCCCAGTTTTGCTTCTTTTTGATAATTATGCAGAATATACATCATTCAATTTGTGACCAATGTGGGACATGACCCAATAAATCTATTTTGTTGGGATGGTTTGGCTGTTCAATCAAGTCCATTTCTTTTCCTTTCATGGCCTGTTAAAATATCTTCATGGAATTGAACTTGAGAAAAACATAGTTTTCGTCATCTGACAGCTAATTGGGTCTGATCCATTTTGGCCTGCATGATGATTAAAACCACCTAAAGGAGATATTTTAATAGGAAATATTGTCTTGTTATGCTATCAAATCATGAAAAAATATGGACTTGTGGATTAAGTTATTATGCCATTGAGGATAAGTATTCTTGAAGACTAAAACTCCACCAACCTGTCTATATACATAACAGATTGACTATTAGTTTGATGTTATGTGTATGAGCCGCCTCAAATAAATAAAAATGATACATAGAGCAGAAACTACCATCCATAAGATACTCCTTGCATGACTTTTTCCAATTGTCAGCAATAAGCAAATTCTTGACCTTTGAATACCCTTCTATGCCATTCCATTTCTTTGTTTCTTTGTTGCATTTGTTTCCTTCCAAGTCACAAAAACCAATTATGAAGGAGGTTCGGTCATGGCACAATTCTTGGCAGAAACAATACAAGGAAGAAATCTAAATGGACAGCTTGCAAATAGTAATAATAATAATAATAATAATAATAATCTTGGTAGATTTATATTATCATGACAACTGCTGCCCTCATTTTGATTCCTTTGATCATACTTTAGCAAGTGCTAGAATTTGTAGACATTTCACTAAGGTCACTCCCACTAATTCAAATTATTCGAAGCATGCCAGCATATCTATTAAGTGACTAAATATAGACACAGCAATATAGAAATTCAGGAGTACAAACAGGATTCAGAAACTATACAATAAGGATCCATATCACCCTTCATATATGTACAAAAACAGAGACCCTATATGCATCTCGTAGAAACTGGCATAGCAAATCCATCACACTTCACAATCAGTTGATCAAGCAGGTGAAGGGGTCCGGGATTCTCTACAAAGGCAGTGCTTCAGAGACCATCATAGTAACCACCATAGGTTATGCGAGCTCTGGTGATTGGAACTCCTCTAGCTGCAGAAATTGCTTCATTAAGTTTGGTTACACGCTGAACCACTTGCTTCATCCTCTACAATCACAATAATTTACTTAAGCTAATGGGGGCCAAAATTTGCTCACACCCTTGTAGTACTTTTGATGCACTGTAATTTTGCAAGAAGTTGTGTTGCTTTTAAATTTGGACTCCTAAATTAATAGAATGTGTATCCTTTCCAGTCATTGTTTGCAGTGTAGCTAGGAATAGTGGAGACAAAAGTATCTATCTCTAATGTTCACATCAACATGTTTAATTTCAAAAATATCTTAGATCAGTTAAAACTGAAAATTTACTAAGATTCCCAACACAAATCATTGAAATGCTCTCTCCTTTTGTTATTCACTTGCTTGATCATGGCCTCGTTTTCTGAGTATGCAATGAATTTTTTACCAGGATCACCAGAAAGAATGATGACACAAACCAAAAAATTGATAAAATTGTGCATAACATCCAGAATTTTCAAGAATTGTAAGAAATTTCATACCTTGTCATCAGCGTAACGCTGGAACAACAGCTTCTGGTTCTGCTGTTGTTGTCTGTGTCTTTGTTGACTTCCCAGTATGATGATACAAAAGGTAGCAGCAGCAACACCGAAAGAGCAGATGGCTCCAATACCAGTTAAGCTCCATTTCCATAAATTAAGGCCGCCAGAATTCTCCTCCCAGGTGACGTCTTCGTTCTCAACTCTCTTTTCCACCAAATCTTTCCTTCTTGGGGAACTCTTATTCTCCAAAACCTCACTTTTGTCGTCAAAATTAAACGTACCTGCAGAATCAATTTGAGGAATAACTCCCCTAGTAGTGGACTTTGGTGAGTCCATCTTTTGGGTCATGTCGACAGATTCATTGTAAGTTGGTTTCCTAAAGGAAACTTGTGTCTTCACTTCTTTATCAGCTTCAACTGATCCAATATCAGGTTCTTTGATCTTCTCGGGGATCATGGATGGGGTAGAAGAGACACCAATAGGTACCCATGTGGTAGTTTCCTCCCCCAGCGCATTTTCTGGAGCCTTCAAGATTCTTGGCTCCAATGGAAATGAAACTGGAACAACCTGTTTAGGTACCCTCCTCGAATTTCCTGCTGGCGGACGCTGTTCCATGTCGAAGTAGTCTGTCAGGAAAACAAGTTTTGTGTCAGAACTTCTTTTTCCTCCATGGACCTTTTTCTCACCATCCTGATTGGTATCCCGGAATCCATTATCAGGCAGGAAAACCCACTCATGATCCATATCCATTTCCTGGAGTATTAGGAAATGGAATCTGACCGAATGGGGTGTTAGTATAGGAACTGGGGTAAAGAGTGGGAGGCCTTTGAATTTGATGGGGGAAGGCGTTGAAGTGTTAGATCAAATAAGATGGCTTTACGTGGAGCTTTGCGTGGAATTTTCACTAATGAGAGCAAAGGCCACCACCACAATGGTGTCCTCTTGCTCTTTGGAGCGAAAGATTGAACCTATCAGCGAGAAAAAAATGACAGCGTTAAGTGTGCTTATCCTCCTAAGAGGATGACAAGTGGACGGTGGTCCAAGGGACCCACCAAGAGAATGCCTTCTCTTTTAGGGGTTTCTGGATTTTTTTTTCCATTTCTTTAATTGTGGGTGGGTAAAGTTTGATTACAATACCAATACTTTCGTTAAATATAAGCCAGCAGTCCAACTCCACGTCTTCAAAATCAATATTGATGCTGTTCTTTTGGCCTCTTCCTCAAGCTTATGGATCAAAAGGGCGACTTGGTTTTCGTTTGTTTTTTACAAGCAGCGATTCTTCAATTAGTCTCACTCTCAAGTCTCTCCAAGAGAAAGAGAAAAAGAGTGTCGGTTGCTTGTAGGAGTTTGCTTGGAATGACGATGACTGGTTGGTTTGGGAAAAAGCAAAAGGAAAAAGGGAAACAAGATAGAAAGTTAAAGCCCCATACAACTGTCCATAGGCTGGTATCTTCATTGATTGTTTACATCATCACAAACCTAAGGTAAAGACTGTTTGTATCCCCACAGCTTGTAGATCTCATAAACCTTTGATTTTTCTGGACAGATTCTCCCCGTCACTCTGCATAAGGAGACCATTGGAATACGCCCATTAAGACTTTTAACTCCCAAATAGCAATAAGTTGAACGATCATCAACAATTCCCCTATAAATAAGAAGCATGTTGTTACCATAAGAAAAAGGCCATTAACACCTTCAAAATCTAGCTTCAGTTACACTCTTTGCAGTTTGCAGCAATGTTAAAGGTTGTGTGAAATACTGAAATGGCAATAACCGAAGGTAGCATTTAGATTTATTTGTCTAGCTTTTTGTCTGTAACATTAAAGAAGCAAGTTTGGGTCCATGACAACCGAACACTTGCTTCGATTTTCAACATCCATTTTGGCTGTGTTGTGTATGTACCAGGGAATGTGCTTATCTTGCAAGAAACCACGAGAAGGAAAACCTTTTTGTTTTTTGTCTGTTTTGGTAAGTCATTTTCCACGGGAACCGAACACGTTGCAGCAAAGGGCTTCATATGTTGCAATGGGAAGAATTTATTGTCAATTAATTAGGAGCTGAAAAATTGATCGTGAAGCCTATCCTTAAAGTAGCTAGATTGAACCAAGGGGTTAGCCCGCCTAAGAGATGGGAAGAGATCCCTATTGGCCTGCACAATGCCGTAGCTAGATTCAATCAAGTACCTGGGCAAGTATTCATTAGATTATAAGGGTTTCATCAGGGGAAACCATTTTTGGGATCTGGGATTTTCCAATAAGAGGGAATGGGGTGATTCACTTTGAAAGCAAAGATTGGCAAAACTAAAGTGGTCTCATTTCATCTGTGTAAGCATGCCGTCCCGAGCAATCTTACTTTGATTGATGAAGAAGTAAGTCAGTAATGGGGCATTGATCATGTAAATTGTGATACTTCTGTAGAATAGCACTAACACACGGCATCCTTTCTTTCACTTCCTCCATTTTTTGCCTTATCGTTTTCTCTTATCCCTTTTATTCTCTTCCACTAAACTACCAAAAAGAAAAAACTATTTTCCTTCCACTTCTTTTTCTTTTTTTCTCTTTTCCTCCTACCAAACAAGAGAATTGTTGAATGGAAAACCATCATTATCCTAACATAATACCTTTAGGTCTACAACAGAGAGAGAGAGAGAGAGGAGTAGTTGAGCAAGGTTACATTCCAATGATGTGTGACGTAGAGATGTTCCTCCAAATAACAAGAAATATACACAAAAACAAAAACTGTTCTCAGATTTACATTCTAGTTGGTTTCCTCCCAAAAATACAAACCCCAACTCCAACACGGTCAACAGCTTTAGCTATCAAGACTATCGATAGAATTTAACATGAAGAGCACAGCAAGTGGGGGGACTACATGTCCCAAAGCATCACAGCGGTATGTAATACACTGTCTGGTCGATAAGCTCTTTTCTATGCTTTAGCTCAGTTCTGTAACCTCCAACCTAGGATGAGGATGATGATCGACCAGAAGATTTGCCCAAAGAGACAGAAGCCAGCGAAGAAGCCCAAACACGGGCACTCTTTGCACCTTGATGAAAATTCCTGGTCTTGCATAGCCTCAGTTTGGTCCAAACTCTCCTCACATCAACCATGTGAAGGGCTCGTGCAAACAATTGACTTGTCTCACCAAATATTTCCAAGTTCAAGTGCGGAGCATATGAAACCCAGAAAGCTTTCAGACAAGATAAAACTTCAGGGAATATGGATAAAAGTACTCTTAAACAGAGAAACAGCACGGCAAATGCTAAGTAGGGCTCCCGTTTTACTATCTCCATTAGGAATGACTCATTCCATGACCGTATCATATATCTATTGTGGTTCCCAGATACAACCTGCTTGTTTTCAGCAACATATTGAACTGGTTCAAATCCTGAAATGCAGGCACTCATGTTAAGAAACATGTAATTATGTTTGACTCACAAACTAGGCTTAGTTATAAGGAGTGACAAATCTGTTATGCTTGAACCTTGCAGGGAACCCTTTTTCTATAAGTCAAAGAACTTTTGCAGCCAGAGATCTTACTTGACATTATCAATGCCCAGGATATCATTCCCTTAAGAAGGCAAAAGCAGCAGAATACATATCTTTGACAGAGGAGAGCAATTACCTGTTACTTTTTCATAAAATTGCACAATTGAGGGGAGATCTTTCGGACCCCGATATCGCACACTTGACGTCTGGTTCACAATTAAAATTGATGGCAAACTACGAATTCCATACCTTGAAAATAAACTGTGATACAACACAGATCAAATGTATTAGTTATGAAATTTGACATTCAGCAGATTTCAAGGGGATGAAAAAACCAGTTTACTTGAATGATAATTCTTTATCATGTAGTTAAAATTACGAAGCAGTGTCACCTTAAAGGAGATTCTTAATAAAGGGAGAACCAATTCTCGTATCAGTTAGGGACTCATTATTTAAGCAGCACAAAAGAAGTATGACACAGCCCAATTATCATGTTCAGTCTTTTCCTTGAGTAGAGGCATAAGCATCTCATGTTCCATCACAGACAGGATAAAGCAACAGCAAAATTTGCAATCAATAAGAAACTACTTCAAACACACGAACTGCCATTAGCAGACAAATTAATTCAATTGAATATGCACACACACTCACATGCACAATTTTTTCTTAAGGAAGCTTTCAAGTACATTTTGGTCATGGTGCACCAAACCAACACCACTGAAATTAACTTGAATATAAGGATGCAATCATAAAAATGACCAAGTAATTGCATGTGTATAAATCATGGCAAACACTATAAGCAGCCAATCTACTAGTTAAAATTCTTTCTCCTCATAACATTTATCCAAGAATACATTCTCATTAAGTTTAACAGTCTTTGTAGTCAAGAACATATAAATAACAGCACTAAATGCAATTCAATAATTTATGCACAAAGACTAACACTGAAAGCAGGAAAAGTAGCTACACACCTTGGTGAAGCTGAAGATTGTTCAACCATCAGATACTCAAATTGAGGGAACATAGAACTTAGAATGCCAAATTTTGGGCGCAAACTGCATGAAAAAGGGCACCAGGAAGCATAAAAAAGCACAGCAGTGTAACCATTCCTCTGTTTGGAAGCCAAAGCTCTGTCCAGGAAGTTTCCATTCACCTACAAACAAAAATTGGAAACTCACATAAAATATTATGAGAATATTCGTATCTTAAGAAAGAGCAAGTCCTGCAAAATATTAATCCTGGAAACATGGCACACTGATATTACCTAATTCACAGTAAAGATGGCAAATCTAGAAGGATTAGAAGAGTCTCAGCCAGGAACTGGATGAGCCCTAGTTATATATGTAACATTTGAAAATACAAGTTGATGGTCAAGATAATAGTATCATTTAACAACATTCTACGGAACTCATGGAAAAAATAAACATTGCCCTAAACTTTACACTTTGTTTGAATTAAAGGGTAGAAAGGAAAAGGGAAGGGAATCGATGGGGAGTTGAATCCTATCCCTGGTTTGACTTCTGAATTCATGCCCACATCAACAACCTTTAGCGTATCCTAGTCTCGTGATATCAGTCCTCTTTGAAAATGCACCAAGTTTTGTGTCAATAAATGAAGTTTTAAGGAGTAACTTTTGTTTTCAAATGATACTAATTTTTGCAATAGTTAACAGGAAGTTTTCCTTTTAATACTTCAGTTGCACAGAGAATTTAGGTAAGTATGGCATCATAAGCCACACGAACATACAACCAAGCACTTCAAGTTAAGAAACAAAATGCTTCGAATGGGTGCATACATTGATCAAATAACTAAACACTGGTTGCATCATATAAGAAGGATTACCTTAAGAAACTTGGATGGATACATGCTTGCATGGGCACTCATTTTCATGGATATTATTATCCTTGATCAGGAGAAGGTCATCGAGGTCCTATATCTCCTACACCCATTTAGGGTAATAATATTTCACTTTTCTTTTCCCTTTTGGCATCATATATCCTGAAAAGGTACTCATGAAAGAAACATTTTTTGCTTGATTTCTTACTATCAGGTTTGGAAGGGGCAAAAGTAGGATAGATATATATTATGATTTAAGCTGCAAACATTAGGGATTTATATAGCAGTCATGTTATGGTGTAGTGGTTGCTTTTTCGCAATAATGATGCCCTCCAAAGCCACTATTCATCACGATGGTAGTGTTAGAGACGATTCACACTCATAGCGGCATAATGGGAAATAGAAGCAATAATGGGCTGCTATATCCACTATCAAGCTGTTGTGCTTGTGAAATAGTTTTTTTTTTTTTTTCATTTTTTTATCCAAAGGCAAATCCATACCCAAAATAGAGAAAAAAAAACCAATCTAAACATTCAAACTCCAACAAATTTATGCTTCAATTAAGGTAAAAGTAACTACCTATCTTAAAATAAGAGTTTTCATGGTTACAATTATTATTTACTTTATTTTGGGGTGAGTTTTGCATACGACAAAAATTCACGACCACAATGAGCATGACTACTGCTATCTCATCCATCATATCTGCAACTTTAATCAACGTGAAGCAACTGAAAACGTGCCACAACTGCAATTTAAATCCCTAATGGACATCAATACATATCTCTTCTAAAACCAGTATTTGGAGACCAAAGACGCCTAATTTACAAAAAAGTGACATAAATAAGGACGGATTAATCTGTTTTTAAAGGATACTTATGATTCCTCCACCTACTGGTATAGTAGAGGCCTACCTTGACATAAGAGTATAAAGGTAACAGTTTATGATAGTTCCTTCTCCAAGGGCCTATTAGACAACGCCTTTGCAAATTTATCAAAAATCTCCGCTAACACAAAAACTCTAGAAACTTCATTGCAGAAGATAATCTGATGAAAAAATGCAAATGAGTTTGTGTTCCAACCCATACTCAAAACTAGTCACCACAAAGATAATTGGTGGCAAAAATAAAGGTATCTTCTCCCCAATCTGAACGACCCAAAGGAACAATATTTTCAATGGTTCAAGCAACAACCACGTTGGAAAATAATACCCATAAGGTACAAAGTTATAAAATTATGAAATTTTTTCATGCATACTTTCTTCCAATCCATAATAACTCAAAGTATTTTTGTTAATTTTAAGGTACTACCTAATTAACCCATTATAAATTATGACATGCATCATACTAGCACATTAGTGCAACACAAAACCTTCCTTTAGGAGAATGCAAACTGTAGACTTTGGGGGGCTCAAAGGTGTTGTGTAATGCATGGTAGCACACAAATGAAGAAACAAATTTTAAACAGTTTATGCAGAACAATGGCCTTTTAAATGCTAAGAAAAGGATGACCATAAATTTATGTTATAATATGGATAAAAGATCGTGCAAGCTATGCCTAGCAGGAAAGTTTCTTTACATGACAAATAGCATAAAAAAATTCAACAGTAGGAGATGGTGCTAGAACGTGTTTATGATAGGGACAAGTATTAAGTTGCAATAGTTCAGGTCATTTGTGCTTAGAAGAGAGTCGGAGATCAAAATTTGCATTCCCAGTCATGAAGCCATATAGATTCTTTTCCAGCCACAATCTCATCAACATGTTGATGCTACCACAGAGCTACAAGTAAGTCAGTTAAGTGAACACATTTAATAATTCATATCTTTAATTAAATCTTTACAAAACAGATAACATATTTTGCTAATCCGGCTTATATTCCAGCTGAAGTGCATAAGGCTAAGGATCATAGAATATAAGACTTAAGTTGCGTCTCTTAACAGTTTTTCACGTAGCTCCCACTTCAGCATACACCACTCCCGTTTTCAGCTAAATCAGATAACAGGGTTCAGAAAAAATTCTATTGTTGCCCAATTAACGCAAAACAATCTCCATCATGCTCACCTAAAGATTGTTCATAAAAATATCCTAGAACTTCATCATCTGTAACCGGATTTTAATTTCCCTAGTAGCCTCAAATACTTGCTGCTCTTGCTTTTATATAAATAATAATAATTCAATTCAAAATCTTCTAGAAGAAAAGAAGGCATAATCAAAGTCATGAACCAAGACTAATAACTATTTAAAAACGACTAATATTATAGAATAAATGCCTAACAAAATTTGCAACTTCTCTTCTTCTTCTTCTTCTTCTTCTTTTAATATTTTCAAATTAAATTATGCCATAAGAACCCAATTCCCCAAATATTCAAAAAGTCAACCATAAACCTTTATTCTGATTCTTCAAAATTTTACAACCAGCAGAAATCCATAATAAAACCTTAATATTTCATCCAAAAATCTCAAAATTTCCTACAAGAATTTCCTTCATTTTACAAAATTAAACAAAATCAGAAATACCGACAATCCAAAATCAACAAAAAAAAAGGTAAAAATAAAAACCTTCCAATCAAAAAATTAAACCTAACTCCAAGAACCCATTTCTCCTAAATCAATTAACAAATCCATATGAAAACAAGAAATAAAAATTCCACCAAAATTAAGCTAAAAAAACGTACCTTGAGAGGGGGAATTGGAGAGATCGAGGGAGAGCATTGAAAGTGGAGACTTTTAATGAACACATCAGCTTCATGAGAGCAAATAGAAGAACCCAAAACACAGCGCAATGAACAAAGGGCTGTGATATAGAAGAACAGAAGGAGAGAAGAAGAGGAAGAACCCATTTTGGATTTGATTTATAAAACCCAAAAAAAAAGAAAAAAAAAAGAAAATTCACAACAAGAACAACAACAAGAAGCAGAAGAACTTGGCAAAATCGAAACCCAGAAAAAATTTTAAAAAAATTGAAAATTTTTATTAATCAAGGTCTAGAAATAGGGAGGGGGGAGGTGGTGGGTGTGGGCTATTTCTTTGTAGTGGGTAATCTAATCCCTGGCTGGCTGGTTGGCTGTTAATTTCATTTTAAAAAAACAAGAAAAAAGAGAGAGAGTCTAAAATATCGTGCTGCTTTTTTGGGGAAGTGTTTGGTGGAAGGTGTTTTGGAATTTAAGATTTCAACTGTTGAAACCTTCTTTATATTCCATGAATTGATAATGGTGGGTTGAGAGCCGTGCCTCGTGCGTGTGTTGGTTCAAAAGACGATTTGCTTAGTTTGGTTCGCTAACTAAAAAATAAAAAGAATAATAAAAAAAAAACAGAGAGGGCATTTGGTTTAATTTGGTTCGGTTCGGTTTCTTTCTTTTTAGGCTTCCAGGGCTTTTGTTTTGTTTTGTTTTGTTGTTGTATTTATCCAACAAGTTTAGTTTTATCTTAAATGTTAATAAAAGTGTGTATATATATATATATATTTATGAAGTTGTTATTCATGAGTATCTTCATAATTGAAATGTTGTTGAATAAAATATCATTATTTTACATTAAAAATATATATTATTATTTAAAAAATGATATATTGGTATTTTATATTTAAACATTTTAGGAATATAATAATAGCAAATTATGCATAAACTTTAATGGGGGAGATGCTAGTTTTGTTGGAGTTTATTGGGTTTTAAAAGGAATCTTCAATGGCATGTTTTGTGCCACTTATTTCACAAATTATAAGCAAAAAATTCTTTAGATTATTTATCATAAGAATTGAATTCTTATTTTATAAACTATTTCAAAATTGCATGCATATTTTTAATTTTTAATTTTGAGTAATTTTATATAGTAAAGAAAAGGATAAAATACTCTCTCTTTTTTAACTTTTAGTGATATTTTTAGACAAATTTATTAATTAAAAGATAACATAATAACCTAAAGTAACGTTTAATTGATATCTATTATTTTATTATTATAATTTTTAAAAAATAAAAAATAAAAACAAATAGCAAAATATAAAACACAACAAATATTATTTTGGGCTGCAAATTTTCACTCAAACTTAATTTAATTAAAGGATAAAGTTATTTATTTCAATTAACTTGAGAAATTCAACCTTCACTTCTTCTGTTTTTTTTTAATATGAAAAAAAATGTCCAAAGATAAAAAAAAAAAGAAACAATGACTTTTGACAAGCCTAAAAAGTACCATAAATTAGGCCACTAATTCATTACTTGTTTTTTTTTTCCCTAATATTATGACAAATTAATTATAAATATATTATAATTTATATAAATTCACGATAAATTTATTTATTTTAATCCACGTCTACTCCCTAGGATAAACCTATCCGGATCAGGATGCCAAACAGCCAGCCGACTGTCAAACAAAGGCCAACCCGCTGCGCACCGTTTCACCTCTTTCCTTACCCTTTCCCATTCTCCACTGATTGGCCCCTGAAGAAAAGAAAAAGCCGAGTGAAAGGGGAGAAAGAAACGTTAGGGCTTCTTCAAAAAGAGGGGAAAAAAAATCGAAAAATGGAAATTTCGGAGAAAAAGGAAGCAGAGATCAATAACAGCAGCAAAGATTCGAATAATAATAGTAATATTAACGTCGAAATTACGGATTCTGATACCAATAATATGAATAAAGAAGCTGAAGAACGCCAAGCTCGTGAACTTAAAGCCGGTTTGCATCCTCTCAAGGTATTTTTATTTTTCTTTACTTTTTTATTTTTTTGTTGTTTTGATTTAATTTTGTGTGTGTGTGTGTGAGAGAGAGAGAGAGAGTGGATAGATCTGTTTAGAATTTCAAAATTTTGGTTTTGAAATGGTTAGGTTTATTGGCGGATTATAGCCTTACATTATAAAGATATGTTCTTTTATTAGTGTTTTTGTTTGCGGAAATATTTTTCATTTTTGCTAAAAAGATTGTTTCTCATTATCAAGTTTCGCGTATTCCAATGAAAATGCTGATTTTTTTTCTTTTAGCTGATAAATTTGGATCGATTTACTCGATTGGGCCGCTTGGCCATGTAATGAAACTGTGAAAGAATTTCTATGATAGAAAAACTGTGGTTCTTTTTCTAATTTCTGTTTAGTATGTAGAGGTAGCTTTGAGGTTTCTTGTTGGTAATTTGAATTTGTTTTATTGTATCGCCGAAGATTCTGCGATTTGTGAATTTTAAGTTCGTCATTTTAGTTGCAAAAGTGCATGCTTTCACTTAGAAGTGGCAAATAAGTACCTATGATATCATCATCGTGAGGCCTATATCTATGCTAATGTTTAGTTGCCAGAATTCGCTTTAAAGCTTACGAATTTCATATTGGATTAGGTAATCGGAATTGTGATCAAAATGTGAAAAGACTCCATGCAAAAAGATGAAGCTATACCTTGAACTGAACTTTTTGTGGTATAGATAGCCTACTACCTTAGTTAGAACAACAATAAATATCTGTACGTTCTGTGGAGATCCTGAGTAACTTAGAATTCAAAATGATTTTGCTTTAAATGAAGTGAAACGAATTATCCTCACCATGCCACCCTTTTATCTTGGTGGAGTTGCAGTTTATGTTCGGTGAACCAAATTAATCTGTGTTCCATGTAACTTAGATCTGCTATTTGCATAATGTTGCTATGTTTCTTAGCTTTTCTTTTTTCTGGTCCAACTTGGATAGCTTGTTAAATAATTAATTGATTACTTAGCAGTGCCTCATTTTGTTCTCACATTCCTTTGAACAGCACAAATATGTGTTCTGGTACACTCGTCGGACACCTGGAGTTCGAACCCAAACAGCCTATGAGGACAATATAAAGAAAATTGTGGATTTCAGTACAGTAAGTTCTATGTATAAGAGCATAAAGCTAAATGTGATTGATTGCAAATCCTGACCTTGGTATAAGTTTTTCTTTTTTCCCATTGGATCAAAATCGATTTACTGATCTGGGTTTTAACTTCTAAGCATAATATGTATACAGGTTGAAGGTTTTTGGGTCTGTTACTGCCACTTGGCCCGTTCTTCTACTTTGCCAAGTCCAACAGATTTGCATTTATTTAAGGAGGGAATCCGTCCCCTATGGGAGGTAATTATTGAAGACCTGACCATCAAACTGTGTGTACCAATAACAGTCGGCATAAACTTGTATAATAGCTGTCAAATCTTAAATATTTTATTTAAGATGATTCCTGTGTTTTTCATAAAATTTGTGATATCTCAGGACTCTGCCAACTGCAATGGTGGCAAATGGATAATTCGGTTCAAAAAGGTTGTCTCAGGTCGCTTTTGGGAAGATTTGGTAAGAAAGAATATATGCAGTTATAACTGCCTATGCTAATGTTCCTGTCTGATATTCTTATTTGGTTTTTGTCTGTGAGCAAGTTCACAAATCTCTTTTAAATCAGCATGTCTGCAATGGTTTCTGATAAGAGTTTTTCAATTCTGATCTTATTGATGGGAACTTCACCTACATTGAAACATATACTTCATTTTTTACCTGTTCCATAACTTAATATTCATGTTTTTTATCCTTAACTTTTTTAGTCTATTTTATTGAAGTATAGTGGTATCATTGTTGAGGATGGATGTGCAGAATGTTAATCCTCATTTGTCTCATTCCTAGCAAATACTTTGTTTAGAGTTCCACTAACAGTAGAACTCCTTGGCTACCGTGATAAGCTATGAGAGATAGAAATCGGAAAATTATTGAGTCTACAATTTTCATCTCTCTGCTGCCTCCATGTGGCTATTATTCTTTGTTGAAATCTGCAAATGGGTATGAGTTGCTAGGTACATGTACCTCTGGTGATGTACATTGGGCCCACTACCTGAGGAAAATTTTTGTCCCTAGCTACCTGAAAATACCTATTCCCAATGCATATGATGATCATGTACATTTTTGTGTTGGGTACTAGATGATGGGCGTTTAACATTAGCCTGCATGTGCTTGCAGGTTCTTGCCTTGGTGGGTGATCAACTTGATTATGGTGATAATATTTGTGGTGCAGTACTGAGCATTCGCTTCAATGAGGATATATTGAGTGTATGGAATCGTAATGCATCTGACCATCAGGTTAGCAATTAACAGTCACCAATTTTCCCATTTCTTTCTCTTCCTTTCTGTCTCTGCATAATTTTCTGACCATGGTTTTTTTTTACCAGGCTGTTATGGCCCTAAGAGATTCAATTAAACGGCACTTAAAGCTTCCCCACAGCTATGTTATGGAATACAAGCCACATGATGCTTCTTTACGTGACAACTCATCATATCGAAACGCATGGTTGAGAGGGTAGAAGTATCTAGTATACTTTAACGAAAACAACCGGATACAAACATTGCAGATGTTATGTTTAACTTCTCTGCTTCTTCTGAGTTGCTTCACTAATCCTGTATTTTGGCATGAGAACCATGTCGAATGTCACGATTGTGAGAATCCTTTAGATTGAACTCTAAGAGGATGGCATTTAGACTGCAGTCAGATGTTGGTTTTATAGATGAAATATTCCTTAACCCTTGGTTTCAATCTTTGTTTGCCGAAGCGCTTCTTTATGTTTCTTCTAAATTCTGATTTAGGATTACAGTTTTAGAAATGAGTCAATCAAAGCGATTTAAATGATGGAATTTTGTTGAGTTTAATGTCTATGGTGTGAATAATAAGAGCCATTTGGCCAAACATCATATAACAGGGAAAATAGGAAAAGACGGCGCTAGCTAGGAAATTATGAATGAATACCTTCCACTATTTGAAACAAGGCCAGCCAAGGAAGGATTAAGGAAAAACAAGACCCCTAGTATCACCACAATTTCAAAGCTGGAGCCATGAATTCTCTGGTAGAAAGCAACATTTGCACCGAACACAGAATGGAGAAAAGAGGTTCTCTTTGTGCGCTTGCAAACACACAAACTCACATAGACACGTTATATATGCAACTTCGATGATCAACTCCCAATGTATGTATGCATACAGAGACACGTTATAAATACAATCTCGATGATCAAGTCTCGTAATAAGCTTGCTTGTAGATGGGTTTGAAATACGGGTGGCCCGTCGGAGGATTACAATCACAGGATCGAGCATACAATATTGTAAAGGTTGGAAATCCATCTACCTCAATCCTAAGAGGAAACCCTTCTCAGGAGTTGCTCCAACGACACTACACTGTTGCAGTCTCCATCTTTGACAATAAGACACCAAGCCTCTCTGGTCCATACTAGCTTGTAAAGTATAATATTGATTCTTCACATGCCTCCTCATTTTCCGCTTTGGTCCAGACCAATCTGTAAAGTATTGTAAAAGTTGTTCACATTCTTTCTCACTTTCTGCTTTGATCCACACCAACCTATAAATTATTGTAATAGTTGTTCACATGCTTCCTCACTTCCTACTCTGATGTACACAACATGTAAAGTATTGTTTGTTTTGATTTATTGATCTCATGATTTTATCTCCATAAAAAGCATCTTACAGGTTAGACATGGTATGAACCCTTAAATACTTAATCTCACTTTATTGCATAGTTTAAGATTCATAACTTTTTATTGGGATCATAACATTTTCCTTAATGTTTGATTAATGGTTTTCTGTTGAAATTGTGACATTCTCCCAAATATGAGATTAACGGCTCCTCCCGTTGAGACGGTGACACCCTGGATGCTCATTGCATATGTTGCCCTTGCACATTGTGCATACAGCCTTGGAAAATTCTTATGGACCGGAGGCACGTTCCAAGGTTATATAACAATCAAGTGATGTGGATGTTCAAACGAACAACTTCCTACTTATTCGCCACGTTCGAACACCATCTTGAACCTACATGGACGTTCCGAGGCATTCTTTACAGACGACAATGTTTTTACAAGGATATGAGCAAAGATGTTGATGGCGTTCGACACTTTAGCAACACTCGCAATGCTCAATCTGTTCAGCATTAATTAATTCAGATTATCCCGGAAAAACTAATTAATTAATTAATTAATTCAGCTTACCTTTTTTTTAAAAAATATGATACTATGATAGTAGGTATTTGTTTAATGATGGTTGGAATCTAACTCTCTGTTTTTCCCTTTATGATATTTTCAACCTCTTGTAAAGGGATAGATCTTGACATATAAATATTAAATTTTTTTTTACAATTATATATATTTTCTTTTTATTTTTAATGACATTATAAAACAACAGATAATGTTCATATAGACAAGTTCTCGAGTCTCTTTCTTATCTTGAAATACATAATCTTGAAAAGATTATAACGTCAGTTATTTTATTGTAATCTTAAAAATATACAGATATTGTTCTTTTTGTCTATTTATATGCTTAGAATGTTAAAAATAAAAAATGACCACAAAAAATATATATATATGAAAAGGAAAGGCACAGATCAATCAACCGCACATGGTGCTCAAATGCCGACCACTTTTAGTGCACTAAACATTATATGTTAAGATTTATCCCATTCAAGGTAATGCATGTAATATTTTTATTTTAAAAAATTGAGGTCGATATCTTTATTTCAAGTAAATAAAAAAAATTAAATTAAATCACTTATCACACTTAAATATTTAATTTATTAATTGATATATAAAATTTTTATTTAAAAAATAAAATTTAAATTTATTTTTTTCAATTAAAAAAATCATTTATTAAATCATTATAAATTTAATATTTAATCGACGATGATAACGAAATGTTATAAATAACTTTAAAGGCAATGGTTGTGATTTATCTTTTAAGAAAGTAATGAGCTTGAGTGATGAACATCTCGTCGAAGCACGTGTTCGACCAAATTCATGAGTACTATAAGAATGTATATTCTAGATTATCCCCATTATTAGCAGTCGGTTCCCTTCCAATTTCCATGCATTAGTCTTCCTCATTGTAAGCATCAGTCCGCATCTTTCTTAGTACCCATCTACACTAGTTGAGAGAAGTGAGAGGCATGGCAAAAGATGATTATGTTCCACTCTTCGAAACAAGGCCGGTTAAGGGACGGATCCTTTTCAGGCTGTTTGCAGCTTCCATCTTTGTGGGCATCTGCTTCATTTGTATCTACAGAGTAAGGTTTCTCCCAAAGGAAGGAAAAGTTGAGAGATGGGCTTGGATTGGGTTGTTTCTTGCTGAGCTATGGTTCAGTTTTTATTGGTTTCTCACCACGGTTTCTAGATGGAACTCAGTCTACCGTCTTCCTTACATAGACAGGCTCTCTCAAAGGTATCTCGAACATATATCTTAAGCTATTCTAACAAAAAAAAAAAAAAGAGAGAGCAAATTTAAGAAAAAAATAATAAATCAAAAGAATAAAGTTTATTTCGTTTCTGATAACTGCGTGTGTTTAATCATATCAGAGTGTATTTTTTTATATACTTTGTTTTAATTTCGAACAATATAACAGATTCGACAAAGAACTACCGGGCGTAGATATATTTGTATGCACGGCGGATCCACTGATAGAGCCACCGAGCCTGGTGATCAACACAGTGTTATCAGTGATGGCTTATGATTATCAGCCAGATAAGTTAAGCATCTATCTGTCAGACGATGGAGGGTCGGACTTAACGTTTTATGCCATGTTAGAGGCTGCAACTTTCTCAAAGCAGTGGCTGCCCTTTTGCAAGAAGTTCAAAGTAGAACCAAGGTCGCCGGAAGCTTACTTCAGGACAGCTTTTGAACCACAAAATGATCCTGTCAAGGCCAGTGAGTGGCTTTCAGTAAAGGTAATTTAATCGGTTCACTTTTCTCACATCAATCACTGTTGAAGGTTGGTCGTTTTGTGCAATTATTGATGCAGTCTTTTCATATAAATTGTACTTCCTCCAATAATCTATTAATTCATTACGATTTTAGTACCAAAGTACTATTTTTATAATTTATTATATTAATTCACAACTTTCAGGTTTTAATTGAGTAATTACTTAATAAATTAATTTTTTGAGCAGTTTCAATTTTTATCAAAAATTTATATTACTTGCTTCCATCTTATTTTCTTTGGAATGTTCCAAAATAAAATTTCCTAATATTTTTATATTTTTTAAAGAACTTTTTCACATTAAAAAGCATTGAAAACCAATACTCCTATATATTATCAAATAAAAAAAAGTTAAAATTCTTAATATAAAGTCCTTTAAATGCAAAGTTTTTGTCTTACTCTCCAGAAAAAGTCAAAGGGATAAAAATATCTTGGGTTTAAAAATTGCTATTTGCAATTTAATAATTAATCATTGACGTTTGAGCCTTATTCATTTGATCTTGGGGTGCCACCAAACAAAACCAGTGGAGACCCCTAAGTTTATTAATTGGTTCTTTTCTCATTATTATCGTTTATTATTAATTATTTTGTTTTCAAGAACAGAAAGCACTCTTTGTTTGACCTTAAGTATGTGTGAAACAGTGTCTGTCTGATGTTAATTCGTCCCCAAAAAATGGGGTGAGATTGAGAGATAAACTTGTTTTTTGTTTATTGTTTTACCGAAAAGAATTGGGTACATAGAAAGATAACAATATGTATACCTTTTTTGGAAAATACTTTATTCCAATTACAAGAATATGATTTTTTTTTAAAAAATAAAAATCACATCAAAGAGAGAATTGATTTTATTAAAATTTTTATTTGAAAATCTCTTTTTCTCTCTCTCATGCATAGGAGCGTGCGTACACACACATATATATATTTTATTAAAAACAAATTATTACTAAACTAAATTATTTTCAAGCCTAATATTTAAACAAACTTTTGAATTATTAATAAAAATTTAAATAAATTTTAAGTCTTTTATTACATTCAATTAAGCTTTTTATTTTTATTTCGAACTTAATAAGCTTTTATTATTAATTATTGATAAATTAATTTTAATTAAAATATCATTTGTTATTTTATATAAGTAAAAATTTCGCATGAATACATTAATATGTTACATCATCATCCATATTATAACATCTCACTTGTTATGTTGTTATGTAATTAGTCAACCATTAATTGTAAAAATTTATTTCATTCAAAATAAAATATAAAAACTTAATTTAATAAAATAAAAAAATAAAAATTTATTTAAATTTTTTAATTAATTTTTAATTATAATAATTTGTTATTTTGTAGCATAGCTAAATTTTTTACTTTCTCACCTCACTTTTACACTTTATTATTACTATCATTTTTTTTCTGTTCTTATCCAGATTCTAGGTATCACTATATCACTGTTACTATAGTTAAGGGTATATTATTTGCTCCAGCATTTATATGTAAAAGGTGTGGATTTTTTTTCTTAATTATGCAGAAACTGTACGAGGACATGAAAATGAGAATTGAAACCACCACCAAGTTGAACCGAATTCCTGAAGACGTTCGTAAACAAGACAAAGGATTTCGTGAATGGGACTTTGTTTCAAGCAAACATGATCATCAAACCATTCTTCAAGTAATTAATTAAGTTTCTACAACTTAGTAATATACTTTGAGCTTAATTAGTTACTCAGGTTTTAATTAATTTCTTAGATCCTGATTGATGGGAGAGACCCCAATGCGGTTGATG